AAAGTACTGCTACTGTCAGTAAAAGTACTGCTACTGTCAGAAAAAGTACTGCTACTGTCAGTAAAAGTACTGCTACTGTCAGTAAAAAGGAAAATTTGAGAGGGTTTTCGACGATAAAGTACTGCTACTGTCAGTAAAAGTACTGCTACTTCAGTAAAAGTACTGCTACTGTCAGAAAAAGTACTGCTACTGTCAGAAAAAGTACTGCTACTGTCAGTAAAAAGTACTGCTACTGTCAGTAGCAGTACTGCTAGTAGCAGAGATTTTTATCGTTGTGGTCCGACGGTTAAGCCACAAACGAATGTCCCACGTCCCACCAACCCAGTCCATTCCCAAACCAGAGGAACCTAAAGAACCACAACAGTCTCCTCAGCAACCTCAGTTCCAGCAAGTACCTCCGAATTTCTACCAATTTCCACCTCAAGGTTACTACCACCACAAGGCTTCCCGAACTACCCTCCTCAGCCTATGCCTTACTTCCCCAACCCATGGATGTTCCAGCAAGCTCCACCCCAGCAATTCCAATCTCAATCCAAATCGAAGAGAGACCAAGAGTTCGAAGAAGGTCTGAACCGTTTACGCAAAGAGTATGCCACAGCTCCAATTGAGAGAAAGTTGTTCCCGGACCAAAAATATAATTTATGTTAACATGTTAGATCTCACCTGTTTTTTCACCTCTTTTTTCACCTCGTGAATTTTCATGACTTCTTCGTAAATGTTTTGTCAAGACTTCTTCGTAATGAGTGTAAAGGACCCAAAAATAATGTTTAGGGTAGAAGGTTAGATCTAACCTGTTTTCTACCCTCATTTCTACCCTCTTGAATTTGTCATGAATTTCCTTAAGATAGAAAAAATAAAGTTAGTTTTATTTTTATTTATTTTTTTATTTTGTATGTAAGAACATATATGACAAACATTGAGTTTGAAACAGTTAAAAAGATAGACAATGACACCAAATTGGTTAGAATAGGTGATTTAAACGTAAGATACTCAAAGAAATACAACAAATATTCTTTGTCAGACATTTTATCTCCATCTGGAAAGAGACCGAAGGACTGGGTTAGAATTGCTTCTACTCAGAAAATTTTGACAAGAATCCTGAGCTTATGATATCAGTAGCATTTCATGGAACAAGAGCATATCTTATAGACAAAAGTCTTATACCAATAGTTTTGTTATGGTTAGACCCAGTTGTTGGATATAACTTCATAACATATGGTTCATTCGATACGGAACGTTGCAGTGAAGGCTTACTTTACATCGTTCAGAAACCGAAGGACTTCAACACAAAAGATATAAGATAGGAAGAACATTAATATAACTCTAAGATATGACTCTACAGTCAATAGAGTCAAGGTTGTGTTCGTTAATGATATGAGAGCTGTAGAAACAGAACTGCTTGAAGTTTTTGAGAAAATGTATGGTGCTCCCACGAAAGGTAAAGAAACGTTTGAAGTAGATGAGATAGATAAAGCTATAAAATTATTTGACGAAGTTGCTGAAAAATACATGTAAAGCGTTTATTTTTGGTCTTTTGTGAAAGTCAGAAAATAAAGTTAGTGTCATTTTTTTGTATTTTTTGTATGTAAGATATGATTTCAGGGATTTTTTTGACGAAGTGTTAACCTTCACTTCGTCAAAAAATAACAGTTATCTAATGAAAAAGTGTCATTTTTTGTATTTTTTTGTATTTGACGAGAATGTCGGGTAGATGGTTAGATCTAACACGTTTTCTAACACGTTTTCTAACACGTTTTCTAACCTCTTGAATTTTCATGAAATTTACACCAAAAATATAATTTATGTTAGAATGTTAGATCTAACACGTTTTCTAACACGTTTTCTAACCTCTTGAATTTGTCAAGACTTCTTCGTAAATGTTTTGTCATGATTTCATCGTAAATGTTTTGTCAAGACTTCTTCATCGTAATGAGCGTAAATGTTTTGTCATGATTTCATCGTAAATGTTTTGTCAAGACTTCTTCGTAAATGTTTTGTGAAGAATATAGCAACAGTCTGAATTCCGACGGTTGCTTTTTATACAAAATTCATGCAGGAAATTCTTGAGTTTTGGTTGAAAGAATACGGTGGAGCCAAAAGTGGCTCGACCTCAAAACAAGCATTTTATGAGCTTACTAAGGGTGTTATGAATGAATTCAAATGTATTTACATACATCCTGACCTCGTTCATTTTGTTGCTGAATTCAGCAAAAATAAAGTTTATGTTAGAATGTTAGATCTCACCTGTTTTTTCACCTCTTTTCTAACATGGTCTAAAACACACAAAACTCATGAAATTTACACCAAAAATATAATTTATGTTAACATGTTAGATCTAACATGTTTTCTCACCTGTTTTCTAACCTCTTGAATTTTCATGACTTCTTCGTAAATGTTTTGTCAAGACTTCTTCGTAATGAGTGTAAAGGACCCAAAAATATAATTTAGGGTAGATGGTTAGATCTAACCTGTTTTCTACCCTCTTTTCTAACCTCTTGAATTTTCATGACTTCTTCGTAAATGTTTTGTCAAGACTTCTTCGTAATGAGTGTAAAGGACCCAAAAATAATGTTTAGGTGAAGAGGTTAGATCTCACCTGTTTTTTCACCCTCTTTTTTTCACCTCTTGAATTTTCATGAATTTTCCCGAAATAAAAAATAAAGTTAGTTTTATTTTTTTTTTTTTTTTATTTTGTATAAAAGATATGATTTCAACAATCGCACAACAGCAATACAAACAACAGCACCAAACTCTTTAGTCATGAATCCACATCTATGTTAGTAGAGATGAAAAGCTTCATTCCTTCTTCATATACTTTTGAAACAGAAATCCAGAAGATAAAGCAAGAACTTTTAACATGTAATTTAGACTGTAGTGCGAAAGATGAAACAAATGAACAGTATCTTTATGAAATGCAGGACCTCATCGACCATTTACCCAAACTACCTGAAATCAACAACAAAAACTCACTATTCCTGAATTCGATGAAATTGAAGTCAAAGCAACTGACTCAGTAGAAATAAAGAAGTTCATACGAAAGGTAAACTATGAGTTTCTAGGATTTCATTGCAACCATAAGGTTATGGACAAAAGATTGCGACATGGTATATAAGAATGTTCTCTGACATATAATAATCTGAAGAATTTAAGACCTACGACAACTTTTGTTTCGTTAGTTGCTGAATGTGTATGGCAGATAAGAGATAAAGATAGAAGAGGAAAAGTATGGAACAAACAAATAAGACCCGCTATGTTTTTGAGATGAAGAGAGCAATTGACGCTTTAGTTGTTTTAGCTGGTTTTATTTCAGAATATAACGCAAAAATGAACCCGCAATGTTCTAAATGTAAAGCAGCAATGAGGAAATATAACTACTCCGTCAAAGAGATAGAACGTATGAGAAACGACTATGCAGACTTAAAGAAAGAAGCAGAAAAACCAGCAGAAGATAAAATGGACATGTTAGAATTTCTGAACAAAAACTATCCAACAGCAGAAGATTTCCTTCTATCTGACGTCAAGAAGAAATATAAAGAAACCTTCGGTATCGTTAAAACATTCGATGTACTAAAAGAAGAAATAGAGGCTACAAAACTGTTTAAAGTCTCACGAATTCATAACGTTTACCATGTAAAACGCTTATAAAATAACTGGGGTAGAAAAGAGGTGAGAAAACAGGTGAGATCTCACATGCTAACATAAAATATATTTTTGCTATCTTAAGGAAATTCACGAAAATTCATGAGTTTTGTGTGTTTTAGACCATGTTAGAAAACAGGTTAGAAAACAGGTTAGATCTAACCATCTACCCTAAATTATATTTTTGGGTCCTTTACACTCATTACGAAGAAGTCTTGACAAAACATTTACGAAGAAGTCATGAAAATTCAAGAGGTTAGAAAACGTGTTAGAAAAGAGGTTAGATCTAACATGCTAACATAAAATATATTTTTGCTGAATTCCGTATGAAAATTCATGAGTTTTGTGTGTTTTAGACCATGTTAGAAAAGAGGTGAGAAAACAGGTTAGATCTAACCATCTACCCTAAAATATATTTTTGGTCATTTACGATGAAGTCTTGACAAAAACTATCCAACAGCAGAAGATTTCCTTCTATCTGACGTCAAGAAGAAATATAAAGAAACTTTCGGCATTGTTAAAACATTCGATGTACTAAAAGAAGAAATAGAAGCTACAAAACTGTTTAGGATTTCAAATATACATCGTACAATTCATGTAAAACGCTTGTGAAATAACCGGGGTAGAAAACAGGTGAGATCTCACCACTTCACCTAAACATTATTTTTGTCTGATTTACGCTCATTACGATGAAGAAGTCTTGACAAAACATATACGTTCATGTTTGACAAAACATTTACGAAGAAGTCTTGACAAAACATATACGTTCATGTTTGACAAAACATTTACGAAGAAGTCTTGACAAAACATGTACGAAGAAGTCTTGACAAAACATGTACGATGAAATCATGAAAATTCATGAGGTGAGAAAAGAGGTGAGAAAACAGGTGAGATCTAACCTTCTACCCTAAACATTATTTTTGCTGAATTCAGCAACAAAATTCTGAGTAAAATGGCATATGCTTGCTTCCCTCGGAAAACCGAGAGAAGAGATTCCGTATGAAAACAGTGAAGAACAGCGAGTAAGTAAAAAAACTTAGTCGCCAAAACTCTATGAAAATCGTGAAGCACAGCGAGTAGGTAAGAAACCTTAGTCGCCAAAACTCTATGAAAACAGTGAAGAACAGCGAGACCGTTTTTTTTCTGGGTCGCCAAAACTCTATGAAAATCATGAATTTCCTTAAGATAGAAAAAATAAAGTTAGTTTTATTTTTATTTATTTTTTTATTTTGTATGTAAAGACAGATATGTCAACAACAGAGAACACAACAACTGCTATCGTTCATGAAGCCATAAATGAAGAATATGAGTACATACAGTTTAACAAACAGTTACGTCTCATTCGTTCGGTCAAAGACGATATGTACCAAATGCAAAGTATTTTGACAGCATGTTTTGCTCCAGATACCAAACATACAGACGATTGGTTCAAAAACCAAAGCACACAAGAACTTTTGAGCGAAGCACAGCGAGACCGACTTCCTTCGGGGTCGCCTAAAACACATGAAAATCGTAAAAATTTGCCAAATGGTTTGAGAGGTTGGTATGTACATAGACTTTTAGTAAATGCAGTTGCAATGTGGGCTTCTCCTCGTTATGCATGGCATGTTTACAGACTTCTTGACGAAATTCATAGACAAGAACGTGAAGAGCTAGAGAACAAGCTTGAAGCAAAAGATGAAGTCATTGAAGCAAAAGACAAAAGCATTCAGAAAAGAATACCACGTTCGGTACCAAAAGGAAAGGAAAAGAACTATAAGTATATGATTTATACTGAAGAGATGGAAAATGAAGAAGATAAAGATATGGTTATGTTGCATTTAGTCAGAAGAAACAACAAAAGCTTTTACGACCTTGCTAAGATTTACAAATCTGACAGAAATTGGTTCTATCGCGAAAACTTACCGATTTCAATGACACCGAATGAAGATGTGAAACAAATAGTTCAAGATACGTTACCTCAAACACACTATGATATGAAAGGTTGTACAATACTTACCTTCAAGAAGAAGACTTACCGCTACTGAAGGAAAAATAACAGAGTATTTTGACAACTTCAAACAAGTAGAGTAATGAACCATTTATTTTTCAAGCTTGACTTTTTACAATTTGAACTTTGTTTGCGTAGATATGAATTCTGAAAGAAGTATGAGGGTCTTGTATGACTTTATACTTCTCCCATAGTTCATGTCTGTCAAACTTACCTGCCATGGACTCTTTCATAAGTTCCATGAAATCGTCTTCGGACAATCCGGGGAAAAGTATAATGTCAGTAAGTAGTATCTTTTAACATCCTTACTTAAACTCTTTGCTGTCTGTACACATATTACGACTGAGATGTTAAAGTGTCTGAGCTTCTTAAGAATTCGACACATATCTTGTTCTCTATTCTTAAGCAAAGGATGAGAAGCAAAGTCATCTAAGATAAGAAGACACCTATGAGGGTAAGTCTTCCAATCGTAAGATTGCAATTTCTTCGAAATGTATTCTATCTCTTTCTGTTTGTTTCTGAAGTGTTTCTTCTCTAATATTCTCTGCATTTCCTCATTTGGGTCTTTAAACTTAGAATTTATATACTCATTTATAGCATTATACTTCAAAACTCTTCTTTGGTACTTCTTTATCCAATCTAACAACTCAGAGTCTTTTATACATACTAACTTAGACTTCTTTATAATATCTTTGAACGAATTGACGGTTTGGTCAAATTGACCAGAAGTACTACAAATGACTACTAACTCATAGAATGGGTTCTTCTCATCTAGTTCTTGTTGTTGTGCAGCCATTTTAAGATAAGTGAAAGTCTTACCCGACCCAGGTGGTGCAATTAGACCTGTTATACCATTCTGAGCAAATAAGAACTTGTCATGTATAGGCTTTATCTGAGCATTTTCTAACTTCCTCTTGTTCTTGTTTAAAACATTCTCAAATTTCTTGTCAATGTCAGCAAACTTTTTTTCTAACATATTTTTAGAAAAATTAAAATTTTTATCTTTTAGAAAATGTCTAGCGATTTCGCTATCTATATTCGAGACAAGCTTTTCGACAGCAAAACATCTGTCGACCATAAAATCTTACATAGTGTAAACAAGAAAGGGGAATTTGTTCTAAAGTTCTGTTTCTGGGAATATGACAAGAACCATAAAACATTAAGCAGAGAAGTCTTAAAATTTGTCAATGACAGACTTGTTGACAGAGATGACGCCTCTTGGAGAGATGAGGTCCAACAAAACTTCTTAGAATGCAAAGAAGACACATGCGCTGTTCTTGAAGATGAAATAGAAAACAGAATAGAAGAGCTATTAAAGGACAAAGAACTTTTACATAAATATAGTTGCGCCAAATTTGACATAACTCCACCAGAAAAGAAGAAGAAAGAAAAGAAAGAAAAGAAAGTAGAAGAGAAGAAAGAATCTGAACCAGTTCCAGAGAAAAAGAAATTTGACATGTAAAAATAAAATTTTATTTTTAGAACATTTCTGGGTCAATGTCAATGTTCTCTTCCTCTTTAGGAGTAAACACTGGCTTAGACTCTAAAATCTTTTTACCCAATTTACCTTGAACTTCTACAACTTTAGACTCATAATATTCATAGTCGTCTGCTTTCTTTGGTTCATAAGGTATAACAAGTTTGTATGCTTTGCCTTCTTTAAGGTTTGAAAACATTCTGTCAAAACTTTCTTTGACTGCTAACAAACCTTCTATGTCTAAGTCTTCAAATTTCGCACCATTTTTAGTCACAATAGCAAACTTAACTGGTTCGATGTTCCAAACTTTGCTGAATGAAGACTTTTCAAAATGGTAGAAGTAAACATTCAAATATGTGAATGGGTCTAGTTCTTCTTTAAGTCCTGACATGTACTTGTTTACTGAGATGAATTTTGCCATCTTTTCTATCGGATAAAAAAATATTTTTTTAAAATTTACTCATAAAAATTTTTCTTTGTATATACACCTTTCTGTACGTCTAAAAGACTTTTGACATTTGCCAAGAATGTTCGTTTAGAAGCTGTCATATAACCAATATTCTTGACAATATTGTTTTACGAATCGTACAATGACCTTTCATCTAAACACTCAAAGTCAGTTCATCTATGAACAGTTCATATACACTCTTGTTTGCTTCTAACAATGTTTGTCTCTCTTCGGTATGTGGAATTTGTCTTGGATTGAACTTTGAAATATCTAATGTCATAAAATATGAGAACAAGTGGTTGTAAAAGTCAGATGTCAAAGTTTCTGCTAAGTCGTCAAAATATTCTGTATCTTGCATATGAGAATCTGACGTTCTGACAACTACATATCTTCTGTCAGAACTTTCTTACTTCATCGGAACAGCATTGTTTGAAACCATAATGAAGTTTGCAACATTTTCACAAACTCTTTGGTCTTTATACTTTCTTTCAACAACTCCAACTTTGTCTGTTATAAGACTCTTCAAAGCATCTGAGTTCAAAAACTTTTGTTGTATCTATACTTTGAAGTTCATTGCAAACTATAAGTTTCATATTCTCTATTGAGGAGTTAAATTTACCGCAGATGTTTTCTAAGTTTGTCATATTCGGATTCGAATAACCTTCTAACAGTTTGCACAAATATCTGTAAAGAATGTGTTCTTACCAGTTCCTTGTTTTCCAATTATAATGAGAGCAGTTTCATTTTTAGCACTTGGATGTTGTAAGATGTTTGCAAACCAACATAAGATATACTCATAGACTCTTTTGTTTCCATTGCATATAATTTCTTTGACATGGTCTAACCAAGCTTCTATAATATTTTCTTTCCATTCTACTTGTTCATATTTATATCCAGTGAAGATAGAATAGAAGTTTGGAGAAGGTGTATAGAACTTTATACCTCGAACTGAAAAATCTTCTAACTTTGACAATAAGATATCCCAAGCATCTAACATCTTCATGCCAACTTGTACGACTTTTATTTTCTTAAGTTTCTGTCTACATTCTTGTTCTGAAACTATTGTTGCTCTTGGTTTGTTAAAGACAACATCCTATTCTTTCATGACATAACATTCTGGGCAGAGTCAACATAAATGACTAAACGTTTCAAATTCTCGACTGCTTTGTTATAGTCTCTAAATGGACACATATTTCTGAATGCTTGGAAGTCATAAAAATCTGAAACATCTATTCTGTACATTTTTATAAAAATAAAAAAAAATATTTTTTTATTCTTGACTTTGTTGTTGCATTTGTTGCATTTGTTGTTCTTGAGCTATTTGTTGTTGAAGTTGTTCTTGTAATACAATACTTTCACCTTGCATCTTCCAATTCGAAACTTTCTGCCGTCATTGACAAATACATAGGACATAAAAGTTTTACAGGAACAAAGTTTGCGTCAACTAATGTCAACGTTATACTTGCCAAAGTGTTTGAGTTCACTAAGGTTGAAATTCTGCATTCGAATGAACAATAGGCAAACCAGCAGAGAAAGTATTGTTTATACGCATAAGTATTTTGGTCATAATAGTTTCTGTCGACATTCGAATAACACTTTGAACCTAAGTTTGAAACAATATATAAGATTGGTGTGCTTAATGTCAATGGAATAGACATTCCTTGTATGACACCTTTTCCTGTTATAGGAAACTGTTGGTAGTAAAAACCAGAAATAAGTTTTGTATTATAGCTCATATCGTTTATAGTAAACTCAGTCGGACATCCAAACATAATGAAACCTGCTCTAGTTTGCAGCACATGTTACACCCGTACTTAAAGTATTAAATAAGTCAACAAAACCTGTTGGTGGTATATCTGAGTAAGTATCTTCAAAGGAGTATTTTTTACCATTCACAACAATAAAGTCTTCTGGTGTCAAAAGAGCAAAACAGGCTTTAGTCGTCATTGTGTTTAAGGTTAGTTTACAATATCGTCCTTGAGGACTTGTAAGTTTGTTGTTATAGAATTATATGACTCAGGGTTTTTAGTCGTAATAGTATAAAACCATTATATCTTCTGCCATTTACTTAGCAAATAAATTTTAATGAAATGTTGTGGTCGTCAAATATTTTTATGACGTCTGGGAAACTATACTTTAAGTTCAACGTTTCACCTCCTTTCATAACGTATATCTTGTCAATGACATTATATGAAACACCACAGCAACTAATGTCGGGTTCTATTTCTTTGATGTTTATATCGTCTGCCTCTGTCAAAAGTTTCAATAGTTCTTTCAAGACTTCATGAGGTGCAATGACATATGAGTTCACTTTTACAGGGTTGTGTTCGACCAAGTTTAACATTATACCTAAAGCTTGACAAATCTTCTCCTGAGTTTGAAGTTTGTCTTTCAGTTGTTGGTAGTCGTTTCGAATATCTGCAACAGAACTTAAGTCTCTGCTAACTTCAGGATATGTTGGTTGTTCTTTTTACAGGAACAATTGTTATACCATCTTCGTCTTCGTATGGTTTCCCCACTTCAACATCTCTGTCTTTGACATTGACAACAACACTTTGACTGTTTGTTTGAGTTGGTGAATTTAACTTCACATCTGCCACCGCCATTAAACCTTTTGAAACACTCACGCTTCTATTTTTTCGGAAATGACATTTTACTTAGAATAAAAAGATGGACGTATTCGAGTATCTCTTCGAATTGAAGCAGAACAAAGTTTACACACACAAACAATACAAATACATTGACAGAATAGTTCTTTATACAAACAATGGTAAATGTTATAGAATAGCAGTCTTGCTGAACCTAAATATTTTCATAAAGCAAAGAAAGTTGGTATAAACTGAATGGTGAAAGTTCTTGAAGCAGACAAAAATATAACTTCAAAACTTACAGATATTTCTAAAGGTAAGTTTATCTTACAATATTATGTCAAAACTGGCGTACTGTCAATATTTGACGGAGAGAAGTCAGTTCAAGAACAACTTACTGACCTGCTGCCAAAATCTGCTCGATGGAAGCTGTCGTTATGCCAATCTGAGGAGCCCCAGCAGGTTTTCATCGAACGAATCTTCAAAAGAGCATCTTCCGTGAAAAGTGCTATTGGTTTTTGTAAACTTCTTTGCTCTCAGTTCATCTGGACCGTCTCTGTCACCAGTATATGTATTTGTACAGTACCAACAGTTGAAATAGCCACCCATAAAGTCTTCTGAGTCAGCAAATGGAATGCCAAGCCAAAAGTTTGAACGGTCTCCATTTGTATATTGAGTTTTTTGACCTCCTGTATGAGTCCATACTTTCACATATGGCATAATAGAACTTTGCATTTCAGGGTTAATGGTTGTTGTGAAGTTGTTGTTAAAGTTCATAGCATCTAATGTCAAGTTGTATGACCTCATATCCTCAACTGTAGAATATTTCTTCTCTTGGATAATATTTGCCATCTATGTTTATATGATATTTAATACCGGGGTTGTAGAAACAAGAATAGTCATTTATAGTTCGTCTGAACAGTACAAACATAGTATCTGCATGTTTCATTGCAGTTGTTAAAGCAATATCTTGTTCTTGCACCTGGTCAGCACTTTGGTTTCCAACTTTCACCTGCAAAGTCTTTGACAATATTTGGTGTATAGGGAACATAAGTGGAACTGCAATATATTTGGCAGCTAAAGCATTGAAATATCTGGTCCAACATATAGACTGCAAGTCTGCTTTCTATTCTCTTGCATTCAAACTTTCGCATGTAACTTAACTGGTCCAAGCATCTCCAGCAGCATTGAAATAATAGTTTACTTCATGTTGAGGTTTGAGAAACCAAAGTCTAAGTCAACTTTGTCTTTGCAAAATTCGGCGAATGACGTTTGATTTGTTCCCTTTACGTCTGTAATAGTGAATGGGTCTTGTGTTGGTGCAATGACTAAGTTATTTTTTGCTTGGAGTAAGTTCGATAGAAATTTTTCCTGCCCAGTTTGGCAAGTATCTTAAAAACCTGAAGATGAGGAAAGAGACAAAGGAACTCTAAGTTTCAGTTTTACTTTATGGCAGCAGTTCCATCTGAACCAGAAAGTTAACATAAACTCCTGGAACGTTAGGTCAAGTCTTCTTATTTTCTCAATAGTTGCATACTGGTCTGTTTGTTTCTCTAGCTTGTGGTTGTACTGAGTTCTCAAAGCGAACCATTCATAGTTTGCCCATGTTACTGTTTGAACTAAGTCAGAGTTAGAATATATCTTATATCCCATGAAAACTTCTGGAGCATATTGGTATCCGACATAGAAAATTCCATTGCAACCTTTCTTGTCAGACAACTTGGCAGAAGGTTATTTCAATGTCTTGTTCCACGATATAAGAATGAGTTGTCAATAGAAAAATATGAAACCTGTCGCAAGCAATATCTACTGTGTGTTGAAGAACCTTCTCCAAACTCACCTACTTTCCATAAGAAACAGCAGTTGTATATTCGTAAGTTCCAGGAACTATTCTGACCTTCTAATGGCATTGTCGCATTCGTTATACCATTCGGAAACATTTCCGTTCATGGCATCCAAAACTGTTGGCGTTATATTCTGAGCGGCGTACATTTCATATGGGTAAAAATATAGAATAGTTGGATTTATATATCATAATAGAACCCACTCGTACCAAGCTTTACTTTCTTCCTGACTGAGTTTTTAACTCTTCTTTTTCCTTCATTGCCACTACTTTCACTAGATGAAGTTACTTCTTCACTATTTTCACTTTGTTCTACTCTTCTCTTCTTCTTTGGTGTCGCTTTTGTAACTTGCCCTCTGCTTCAAGTTGTTGCATCTTTGCCTCATGTTCACCTAGTGTGTTGTAAATTCCCATGTCCTTTTTGCCTTTGGGCTCTGGTCGCCCATCTCAGTAACCTATATCCTAGAAAGAATTTTGTCATAGTTTGTATTTGAGTCTTCGCGTATTGTTTGCATGACTCTTTCCTGAGTTTCCGGTTCAAGCTCTTCAAACAGAGCTTGTCCATATGGAATAAGCTCGTTTCCAAAATATGTTTTTGTAGCCCATTCTGGTTTTCTTTCCATGTTACCAATAATATCTTTTGTGAATGGAAAGCTTTTACCCAATGTTTCAGTCTTGCGTCATTTATTTCTGTAGTTGGTTTTATTTTGTCAAGGAACATGTTTTTCAATACTAACATTTCATTTGGTACTGTCCATTTGAGTTTTCTTAAATATTCATCCCTTCTCAGTTCATTGTCTGCAAAGTAAGTTTTTATGACATTTTGTAAACTTTCGTTTGCAAGGTCATGTACAATAGGTTCTCTTCCTTCTATCTCCCTAACTTTCTTTCTAAACTCTTCACCAAATATACCATCTCTATGGTTCTGTGTAGTTCTTTGAGATAAATGTTCTAGAACGTCAGGTGTTATATTTCCATCAGCCATGTTCATTTCATACTGGTCCAAAATATCTGCATGTTTCATATCTTTCAATGGCATTAAAGCCGCGCTGAAAATACCAGCTATATCTGGTTCACCATTCACTTCCATTGCGTCTACAACTTCTTGGAATTGTGGTTGTAAGTTTATGAACCACCTATCCGGATTAGCTTTATGACCCCATCTCATTGTAGTTCCATAGTCTGCAGAAACAAAAGTAGGTTTGTTTCCATATTGGTTAGGTTCTGAATGAACTTTAAAACAATGTTTCATTTCTATATGTTTTGGTGAAATTTAACCTTTTATTTTCACCGAGTTCAGCCAAAGATTGAACGTTATATGGTCGTAAGTAAAAAGGATTGTTGTATTTGCGTACACTTTCTTTCAGTTCTTCCATTCTATGCTGAATATTTTCATCTGATGTTGGAGTCTTTTGTATGTCGGCGAACATTTTTCGATATTCTTCTACTATGTCAGCTGAATTTTTCTTAGACTCTTGGAAAGATTCCATATTCCCCGCATACACTTGTTGAGGGTCAAGATTTTTCGTCGCTGTTCCAAATCTTCATCTAGTTCTGTGAAGTTAGTTTCCAAAGGAGGGACTTGTTCGTTTCCTTCAGGCTCTTCTAGCTGTTGTTGCTGAACTATTTCTTCCATGTCTGGTTGTATCTGAACTTCTTCCTGTGGAGTTTCTTGTACCTCATCTGCTGGCATTTCATATATTCCGAGACCGTTTTTAACAAGTTCCCTATTTAAGCCATCCGCATTCATAACCCTTTCTTCTTTCGTTCCGTCTCTATTTTTTACGCGTTTCATGAAGAGAGTTGAATTATCATTTAGCTCTGACACCAAATATCTCGGAGTAAATTCATTCATGTCATTTGGATGATATGCTATTAAATCATATCCCTTAGCGAGCTTGTATTTTCCAGGTTTGAAATTATATCCCATTTGGTGCTGAACCATAAAGCTAAATAGGTTCGGGTCAGTATTTCCTTCCTTGAACTTTCTAATAGCTTCTTTATATCTGTCACTAAAGTCAAGAGTATCTGGGTAACCATAGTCTTCCTTAAGCATTTTTAAGAATTCTTGGTTTCCTTGTTCTCTACTTCTTTTATGTCCTTGCTCTGTTTGTGATTGTTGCTGTGCAGTGTTTTGAACTGTTGGTTGTGGTGCAGTGTTTTGAACTGTTGGTTGTGGTGCTGGATTTTGAACTGTTGGTTGTGGTGCAGTGTTTTGAACTGTTGGTTGTGGTGCTGGATTTTGAACTGTTGGTTGTTGTGTTGGTTTTGGTGCATGCCTGTGTCTGTGTCCATGTGACGATGTAAATGTTTTAGGTAGTCCTGGTGCAGGTGCTTCTCTTGGAGGGTTTGGTGGTATATAAGTTCCACCAGCTGGCACATATGTTCCATCTGCAGCATAATGTCCTACCTGACTTTTCGTTTTTAAGAAAGCATTTACTAGGTCTGTTTTAGTCTGTTGTAACTCTTTTTCTTGACTTTCCACAACAGTTGCTCTAACGGCGTCATAGGCACTTTGAACTGCCTGTCTCGTTGCTGCATCTGTTATTTTCGTCATATTTTGTGCTACTTCTCTTAACTCGTTGTCGAAACCTTCAGACTTCAGTTTCTTTCCAGATGAGAAGTCGTTCACTAGTTTCACCTTACTATGAAGAGCTTCGAAGGCGTTCTTAAAGTCAGCATTCATTAAAGCTTCATTTGAACTGTCTTCATCCGCTTGTATTTTTGTCCTTATTGACCCTATAAGTTGGGCTGCTTTGGCGTTGGCTTGGGCATCTAACCAGTCATTATTAGCTTTTATATATTCTGCGCTTTTCATTGCCTTTTGCATGGCTGCGTCGTTATTTTTACTTTCTTGTGCTAAGTTTTCATACTGTACAGTTTGGTTTTGCAACTGTAAAAGTTTTTCTGCCTTTACATTTGCTTCAACTTCTTTTTTATACTCATCGCTATCCATATATGTCTTCAGGGCTTTTTGTTTTATTTCTTCATCTTTCAGTACTTTATATTGAGTAGTATGGTTTTTCAAATTTATAACATCTTGTTCCATTTTTGCTACTTCTGCTGCTTTTTCTGACACTTTTTTCGCATATTCTCTGTACTTAGTTCTTTCAGTTGTTCTTCTTTCTTCTTTTTCTCTACGTTTAACTCATTGAGTTTCTTTGTGTGTCTGTCATATTCTAGTTTCTTTTCGTTTTCACTTATTTGTTTCTGTATGTCTATGTTTGACTTTTGACATCTGTTATTTGATTTTTGAGTGAACTCAAATTCATTTGACTTTGAGGGTTATAAGCTGTTCCGTCTGCAGCTCCACCATAGCCTGCCATTTTCGCTAAAAGTGCCGCTCTTAAACCTCCACTCTGTGCACCAATAACTCGGTTTAAAAGCATAGGGTTGCTTGACATTTGTTGCAACATAGTGGGGTCATTCATCATTTGTTGTTGCAACTGTTGTTGTGGTGTCAGTTTTACTATTGGATGTTTCAATGCTCCCTTCCTCTTACGTATATTCTTACGTAGCTTACGTGGCATTTTAAGTGAAGTTAAAAAGCGGTTTTTGACAGATGTTTATATGACACTTTTTGTTCAGCACAAAAAACTACTCGGTCAAAGTGTTGTCAGTTTTGTAAAATAACCGTCCTATCTCATTCTATAAGGGGGAAAGGCTTCTCAAAGTATACTTCCTTGGAACGCCCGTAACTTTTCCTGTAGCGACGATAGACCCTTATTTGTCCGGACAAAGTTATACTATTTTGAGTGCTCTACAAAAAAGTCAACGGCTGGTCGGCTGGGGTTCGGTCCTCCTCTTGGGTCTTGGGCAAAATTTCTTAGGGGCTAGAAGGGGCGCAGCCCCTGGAAGCCCCACTACCTTTTTTTTTTTAAAGTAGATAATATGAATATCTATAGGCTATATATCAACATATGAGTTTTTGGTTTGACCAATACTATACTAATGTGATCAAATTAATCTGATTTCTTAGATTTTCATTTGAAGCATTTGCAGTAGTAGGGGTACCTTTATATATTAACATATTAAAAAAATTGCGCTCCGATTCGCAGTTTCTTCATGATTTTGAGATTGCATTAGATTTCGCGATGCAGAAAAAAATCACTTTAGATTCCCGTCAAACTCTAAGTATAAGCATGTCTCTATATGTAGAAACTGTCTGCGCTATTTATTTCCCGGCTCAAAAAACCACGGTGTCTGTGTGAGGAAAATACCCATTTTAGGACCCTGGGTAGGGGGTCATGAAAATTTTCCAAGAGTTGGAAATATAGGGTAATTTGACTTTATTCATAATTTGCATCCTTACGAAGTAAAGTAGCAAATACCTTAATACAATTTAATATTAATAATAAAATATCGTTATTGTCATAATTTTCCAATCTTTTGCTGCATCGTTTTAATCTTAGTCAGATGAAGAGCTACTGCTGCTACTGCTACTAGACTTTTTACTATTATTCTTGGCATTTTCGTACGCCTGCTTCGAATACGTCGTCGCCGCAGTAACAGCTGTTGAAACAGCATATCCTACTGCCTGATGTATTTCTTTTTCGTTGTCTTGAATAGCATCTCCGGCTACTTCTGCTGCATCTCCTAAGCAATCACCACAGCATTTGATGCATTTGCAGCATCCATGGCAATAATAGCAAACAATGCAAATAATGATTAGGAAAATAAGAAGGATTACGCCTACAACAATGAGGGTAATAATAATTGCTTTGTCCATTTTATAAAATGAAATCAATTACAACTATTCAATTTTTCAGAACTTTAACGTTTATGAAAAAGAAATTTCCAACATATTTTCGTCTGAATGTTATTAATTTTATTTCCAATATTTTGAAAATAATTTCTTTTATTCAATTTTGAGAGAAAGTTGAAAAAGTATTTTTTCCCTAGAGTTGAATAGTTTACACCTCTCAAATGGCGCAACTGCCTCCAAAAATAAATTCATAGAAATTAGTTATGCTCATATCGTTGGCAATTCGGGACTCCTTACTGATTTTGAGCTACTCCAAGATAGATAGAACTCAATAAAGATATGATGTTGATTAATTTTTGATTTGGATAAACAATTTCAATAAAAAAAGTCTGGATAATTCTTTTAATTCAAAGGCTCATATTTTTTTGACTTCGAATCTCAACTTTTGTTATTAAATAAAAATATTTTTTTCTAACAAAAATATCAATTTAGATACTTAAGCTTTTTGCTCTTAAGTAATATAATAAGCCAAGTAGATAAATAAAAAAATTATAAATTACCAAGAGAAAAGTACCTTTTTTATTTTTTCGCTCTATTTATAGTTACCAAGATTCCATATCAGTGTATGGTGAAGCAGAGTTCTTATTAATTAATGATTTCCGGTGATGTTTTAGAGTGATAGTTTTCCGGTGAAAAAAATTAAGGGTAATTGAAAATTTGAATTGCTCTGAAAATTGAAAAGTCAAATTTCTAATTCACTTTTCACTAAGATCAGAATTTATTTTTCAAATCAGAATGTCGTTTAATCCCCCTGGGAGTCTATCACGTTTTATTTGGGAGGCAATTGCACCATTATATATAATAGATTTGATTAAAAAAACAATATTAAAACCAGATAGTTTTCCTTTAAGGGCATCAAAAATTCTTTGATGTGTGTAAACTCTCAATTTGTTGGATGCCATGTTCTTAAAAGGGGTAAAAATAGTATGTTGTAAAAGTGTACTCCCGATTTACATGATTGTAGGTCAAATATGAGAGTATATATTTTCTTAATATATTATTTCCAAAGAGAACTTTTTGCATTGTTGAAGGACTGCTTGATATAATACATAGAGATGTTAGAGTGATATAATTACATTTGATTTTTGAGTTATGCAATGGTAAAATAATTAGAATATAAGTAAATTCGCAAGTCAAATAAAGAAATATATTTATGGAGGGCAAACAATTACATGTTCTTCGCAGGACCCCTCCCCACAGTCCCTGGAACACGTGTAAACAAGAATCGGACCAATGTCCATATCGAAGTTTTGCGGAGCAAGATAATTGATGAAAACAGGAATAACCTCGAACTCGAAGCAACGATCGGCGCCACACTTGGGGCATTTTGGTACTTCGATTGTCATCTGATCCTGTAAAAGAGGTTCACCGCCAAAACAGTAACGGAGAACTTGATCCGGCTCTCTAGAGATACGTTCATTGTATTCGATTAAGATTGGATCAACATCTTTTCTGTCTTCTTCGCCAGCGAATTCTGATGCTGATCCCATTGAATCGTTGGATGATGCCATGATGAATTTCTGGTCTGGATCGAGTTGGGCTTCTGGTTCAAGATCGATATCGACATAATATGCTGGAAAAACGCCATCTTCGTATTTCTGCTTTTTGACATTCTTGCCACCTTTTCCTTTTCCTTTAGCTGGTGGTTCAAAAGAATCGAATGAGCTGATAGCAGCCATTAAATCATCCTTTGAAGCAGCGCCAATTTCAACCTTTGGTTTTTCTGGCTCTGGTGTAGGTGTTGCTAAAACGCAATCATCTTCGACTGCTTTTGCTTTTTGACGATAACATTTTGCTGTAAGTCCACATTTTGGACAAATGTATAAGTAAAGGGTCCTATCATAGCCTGGAGAAACCGGACAGACCGCACTTGTAAGTAAAGCTAATTTTTTACCGCATTTATCACATTTTAATTTGTTAACATCTTTTGGTTCACCGGCAATCCAGTGAGGGATGCCTCCCATTTTTGTTGAAGTTTGATCGTAAGGAATCTCAACTCTATCATCGAGGATTCCTATGTATACAGGTTTCTCCATTTTTTCGGCCACAAAGGCTCGACCAGAGGCGGGTGGACGATAGGAAAAATCGAATATCTAATAAAATACCATGAGAAAACTAATCCTATATATTACATGAAATAGCATTATCAGAAAATCTAATAAAATAATAATATGTCCATTTTTGAAATTTACATTTTTGAAATTTCATTGTTGTGGAGGTTATGTGACATTCTATATTATAGAAGATCCGCAGCCAATAGATTATTAATTAAATGATTTAAGAAAGCCATAACTAGTGTTCTGCAAACTGGTTGAGAAAACAAAAAGTCTAGTCTGTTACGGGCGCGTACGAGTGTTAAATTGAGAGAAAAGTGTCAAAAAAGTGGATTTTTTTTCGAAAATAAAAAACTAACCAGTTTGCAGTATGCATTTTAATTTAAATAATGTGTCTTAAGAGTCACTCGAAAATAAAGCTTTATTCAAATAAATAAATAAAAGTAAATTCAAACACAAAATAAAATTAAAAATTAACCTATGTTCATCATTGGGAAATTCTTAAACCACTCCATGAAGTCATTGATATCAATATTATAGTTAATATTATTAGCAATTGTGTAATATCGATATAATTTTTGTCCAAGCATTTGTGTATTTGAGTAAATACACATATTTCCAAATGTCGAACGAGGATAGGATCCATCCGTCTGGATTGGAAGTAGTTCAACGGCTATTATATCTTTTCCGCCAAGAAATGCGTTATAAAAAGCACCTCCGTGTGGTCCAATGATTATTTTAGCACTGGCAAATAATTCTCTGAGTTGCGATAACTGTCTGTAGTCATCTTTATTAAATATAATCACATTTTCACTTCCATAGATTTCTGATAGTGGTCCTTTAAGGTCCACGAGGTTCGAGATAATTCTTTCGCCTTTTCCGCCATAAACTCCTCCTCTCGGCATTATAATAATTTTATTTCTTTGTAAATTAGGAATATCCATTAAATCAGTAAACCAATCGAAGTACCATGGGTGTACAACTCTAACAACAGCAGCAAGAATCAATCTTTTGGCGGAAACAACAGTTTTTTGATTTTTTCCATTAATTTGGCCAATAAATCCCATTTGGTCCTGCATTTGATGTACCAATGAACCAGAAGCTTCTGTATATATCGTAACGTTGTTTGGCTTGAGGCCAGTTGTAATAAGAGAAATTGCGTTATGTGGTTGAGCATTATCAAAGAAATGTTGGTACATATTAATATAATGGCCAGCATTAACGATAACTGTTCCATCAATCTCTGGTTTTGAGACTCTTTCTGGCCAATTACAATAATTCAAATGATGAGATGAATTTGACTTCTTACATGTATCGGAACATGACGTACGTGCTTTTCCATTCCTAATATCCCATGAAACACTAACATGCCATTCTCTAGTATCTTTAAAAGAAATAATATGTTCATTATTCTTCCAGAAAAGATATTCTAGCTGTGGAACAAGTCCATGTGGCTTATCTAAGCCTGCAGGAGGTAAAAATAGGAAATTTTCGTCCATAAATCCTGATGAAAATCTTAATATGTAAAATCTGTGACCAGCATTATCGGCATGATGATAGGATTTGATTCCTGAATAGTTGTGTGGAACTTTAATCCCATAATAAACTTCCAAATCATGAACATCACTAGGAAAGCTATTAAAATTAATTTTGAAGTCCATTTTTTCAAGAATTCTATCGATTGCTTCTTTATTTGAATGTACATCATCGAAATTTATGTATTTCTTTTGTCTTTCTAAAATAATTCGATTTCTTTCTGTTGGCCAGTTCCAATCCGCAGGAATTATTATTGATTCTATTTTAGTGTCATTATGCTTAAAAGCTTCATTAATAGGAGTTATTTTTGTGTCATTTTGTCTGATAGTTCCATTAAAAGGAACATTATTAGCAAAATCAAAGTTAAATCTAGTGTTATTATACGGAAGTTTCGTAGCTTCTTTAATTGTTATTATTTGTAGATCAGGCGCTGCTATAATAGTTGCATATCCTCCACACAAAATGTAAATTATTAATGGAATTACGATTATGGAGGCAATTACGATAACAATAATAAGGTTTTTCTTTAATAAATTTTGTTCTTGTTTTGCTTCAAGTGGTTTTTCTTTTCTCTTTGGCATATTTGTAGCAAAGCAACAACAAATTTAATAAAAATAAGTTTGAAAATGAAAGAAAATAAAATTATAAAAATTTTAATTCATATAAGGAGAATATTAAGGGTGCACACGAGAGGATCATGTAAACTTCAGAATTTAGAACCTTATTTTTAGGCATTATCTTGGCTACCTATTTAGGCTCGAAAAGCAAAAAATATCAAAAAATACAACTTGAGTCCATTATGACCCTTTCATGGCGGTAGTTTTTATCCGCTAGTATTTTCCCTTTGAATCTCTTTACAATTCGAAATCAAATTCAAACCTCAGTAGAAGAAAGGAAGAATCGACTTACTACGGTTGTAATACGAATAAATACATATATTTAATTATTTTTATTTACATAATAATTGTTTGAAGCTCATATTCCAACAAATTTTTAAATAAAAACATTAAAATGTTGAAAATGTTCATATATTTTAATAGGGTTTTGGCACTTTATTGAGGAATTACTACATACATAGTCGAACTGAACTTGATATTTTGAAATTTAAATTATTTATCAAAATTAAAATTTAACTTGAAATTTATAATTATTTAGTCATATTTTGCATAATTCTAAGTAGATTTTGTAAAAAATCAAGAAAGAAAAATTTTATCGTGCTTTATTTTTTCTTTTTTATAATAATACATATTATTATATAATTAACATATTCATAATGTTTCACCCTTTCAAAAATATAATCCTCCTCCTCTCAAATAAACGTACATACGGGTGGCCTCTTTTTTCAAAAAATTAAAATTTGAAATTTTGGGCTCAAATATTAGAGATTTTTTCAACCTTCAACGATATATGTTGTCTATATCAGACCTCCTTTCTTTTTGATACTTAACATTGTTCCTAAATCTTAGCCATTAAGGCTGTTCTGAAAATATTTTTTTTTCGAAAAAATTCGAAAAAAATTCTTAAAATTCAAAAATCCCTTAATTCCTGAGGATTAGGGTTGTTAGATTCCCGACGATAGGTGTCTTGGAAGATTTGCCTGGTGTCATCATAGTGTCTTTAAATCAAAAATTTTATTTTGGAGTTAGTTTTATTGATTTTTCAATAAAAAACATTTCTAAAACAAGAAAATAAAAAGATAAAATATTTATATTTTATATAAGGATCTTATATAATTAAAATAAATATCATTTTATTTTTTTCATTGGTGTCTGTCAAACCATAATATACTATTCAAAAATTCAATGTGTCTTGCGGTTTCAAAAGACACCTTCAAATTGAACGATAGCACAGACACTATTGAATTTTACCCATTTTATTTAGTTTTTACCCTTTTTATTTTTAAGAATTAATGACTGAAACAGCCGTTTTGCTATGACCTCAATCACTTTTATTTATTATTTTAAATATTATTTAATTTTATTATTTGAATAGGCCAACTTATATTTGAGAAGCTCAATTTGAGACCACTTAATACATTGAAATATCATAAATATTGAAATATTAAAAAGTGTATTTCAAAATATTGAAATTATAAAAATTTATAATACTGAAATTGAGACAAATTAATAAATTCAATGTGTTTTTTTTTTGAAATAACTCTCAAATATTATTTTTTTGTTTATTTAATGATGAATAAATATGATTGCTTTAGTCAATCATAAAAACTAATTTAAGTTTAAAATAATGAAAGGATAATTTGATCGTTTTTTAAAATACAATTATTTTTGATGATTTGCAAGAATCTTTGAAAAGAATATAATATAGGTTCTATTTTTGTAAAATTTATCCAAATCATGTATTACATAAATTACGATTAAAACGATGAAAGAACCAAAAAGTGTGTTTTGTATTTTGTTGTTGCGTGTTGGATGCGGGATCCTATTATTTCCGAAATCCACAAAAAATTTGGAAATTTAATTTCCGAAATCGAAATTATATTAATGTTTTTAATATTCTTATATCAAAAGGATTAAAGTTCATTAAGAGAAAAACAATTCTTCTTCTTCAATCTATTGGCGCATTTATTTCTACACGCCAATAAGGAAGGGAAAATTTTTCAGACACCATGGTGTCTTCAAAACGCTAATTTTTGATATTTTTAATAATCCTCAGTGAGGATTTTGGAAAAAAGTTTTTACATGAACATGTGTATATTATATGAAGTATATTGATAAGGTAAAAATCAAATTTTATTGCATATTCATCGAGAAAATAAACTAACGAATCCCTCAAAATTGAGAGGGTAATCCTCCTCTCAAATAAACGTACATACGGGTACACCCTTAATTTTGATCATCTTAAAAATCACTCGGCTTTTAGATGATATTTCTAAAATAAATCAAAATTTGTTTAAGTTTACTATTGTTGTTAATGATTTTATAGTCTGAAACCTAACTTATCAGTTTCTTATCATTTCAATATTTGATTTCTTTGGTAAATTGAAATTGAATCATTAAACTCATACTAATGTGGACATGTGAAGGATTTCACGAACTATCGAATACCAAAAAAAGAAATTTAAAAAATAATATAATTTATAATTTATCAAAACATAAAGTAGAAACAAATAATTGATGGGATCATATTAATTTATGAGAGACGTCTTATTATTCAATATTAATTTAAATAGTGTAATTGTCAATGGGTTCAATTGTTATAGACTTCTTAAATTCATTTGTAACGCGTTTTTCTTCAATGCAGTATATATTTCTTTTGTTAATTCGAGGGTAGTCTGAAGCGGATGGATCATCGACAAAATACTTATGATTATACTTGCACATTCTTTTGACAGACATCCTCAATACATAATGGCACTTATGCTCGGTGTTAAGTGACATAATATCATATTCTTGAGTATCACAAACATAATTAACTCTTAATGTAGTATTTTCGGATTTATCATCTGTGCATGGAACATCTGAAGTTAATTTTTGTGAAAAGCAAGCCTTTTTTGGTTTGTATGTGTAATTATAATCTGATTTGAAGTCGATATCACCAATTTTGAAGTGATCTTTGCATGTCAAGAGATTCTTACCAGCTATGTCCGCATAAACGCAATATGGTTTTTTAATTTTAAGTATTTCAGAAAATTCTTTTGGTTTCTTGTACTGGCGAGTAATATCTTCTATGGCACATAAGTGTCCAGGATACTCGAAGAATGTTGCATATCTTGGAAACTTCTCCAATTGCTGAATAAAAATTATTTCTAGTGTAGAATTAGTGTAATAACTCTTCATTATTTTTTTAGCGTGACAGAAATTTTATGTTTGCAAAAAAATGAATTTGATGTTTAACGTAGAACCACCTTTTTAAGTAATGCTGAGATTTATAACTTGAATTGGCCGAATTGCATGAAAAAAATATTGGCCAAATTAAAAATTAGATTTTTTCGGGATTTGTTATTATAATTTTTATTTACTAAGAGTATCATCGCTAATTCCACTTGATTCCAATTCCTTCGGGGAAAATAAATTTGTTACCCTACGTTCCCAACTTCTGGAAAACGGTTTTTCACCCTTATGATCAGTTTCAGACACTTTGGGAGTCTCCCAAACTTTGATATTTTGCATTATGATAGAGAAACGTGTCTAGTTTAACGCACAGTTGTTTTAAAGGCAAATGATGATATCACATGAAATTATCAAATTATCAAATTTTGAAGTACCAGTTCAAAGGGTTAATTAGATCCTACACAGATGTGCGATAGTGAAACATATGTGTTCTTGATTTGAGAAGTCCTACTGATAGAGGTATGAATCTCACAGCTTTGTGTGAGTGTGTCTGACACTTGTATAGAGTGGAATATGCGCCGACATATTTATTTAATAACATGTAGTTGATAATTATGAAAAAATAGAATTTGATGCGAATGATATTGAAAGTTGTTTTGTAATTTGATATTTTTCTTATATGTGTTAATTAGTAAATGGCTTGTTTGTTGTGATCGTACTGTAAAAAATGAAAGGTATTTTAAATTAAAAAAATGAGATTTTGATATATCTCTAGAATTAAGAATTTATTATGTATTTGACTTTTATATAACTATGTGTAAAGGATCTCGATGTCTATATGCTTTAAATAAAATTAAATAAAATGAGATAAAAAATTAAAATGGACAAGAAGATATATGGAAATGTAATTTGTATTGTGTTGGTTGTTGGCAAAATGATTTTAATACAGATTTAAGGATTTGGAATGGATTTGAAATTAAATGATTTTAATTCAAGGAGTAATAAGATTTTGAACTGGTTTTTATTTTGAAAATGTAAACTCCTTCCAAAAATATGTATTAGAAAGATCAATTTTAAACTTTTTGAAAGAATTGTTTTTTTGTTGAGTGATTTTCTCTCATTTGATAATATATTTAAGTTGGCGTATCTTACGCCCTTCCAAATATTTCTTAAAAATTTAAATTTGTCTCATCTCCTACTCTTAATTTAAAAAAATTTCAAAATCCATAATAGTAAACATTTCTTATTTTTATTTAAATCTGAAAAAAATAAATTTAAACAATTTCTCTACACACGACGGTTTCGGCGGTTTTCAGAATGGTTGACAACTGAATTCATCAGGATAATGTCGGTTGGGGTGCCCTTCTTGGCCTCCTGAATACTCACCAAGATACCCCCAGCTCCCGCAAAACACCTCCCATAGGTGAGCATTAACTGATGAAGTTATTGACAACTTTATCTGATTTTTTTCTTTGTTTTTTTGTTAAGATTTCTTAACCAAAGACTCGAAAACAAAACTTCGCTTCAAGTTGCTGTCTTCCCAGTTACTCTGTCGCAATCTTTTGTCTGATTGCGTGCAAAGTTCTGCTCCTTTGAGACTTTGCCCGACAGATGCATCTGGGAGACAGCACCCAAGCAGCTTATCGCTTCAAGTTGCTGTCTTCCCAGTTACTCTGTCGCAATCTTTTGTCTGATTGCGTGCAAAGTTCTGCTCCATGAATTATCAAATATGTGCCATTTCAGGAGAGATAACAAGCTCATGCCTCCTGGAATGGCGGATTGTTCAACAATCTTCTTCTGATTGCAGAACTTTCAACCGACAAGAGGTGCATATGCACATCTTTTAGGTTGCAATCTGTGATCCCAGGAGACATAACAAGCTCATGCCTCCTGGAATGGCGGATTGTTCAACAATCTTCTTCTGATTGCAGAACTTTCAAACGACCTCACGAAGAAATTCTAATCGATATCCTTTTCTATTGACTTATATTTGTGAATCATGACGTTAAAATCTTACGTTAAAATCCCACCGGACCAGCAGCGTCTCATTTTCGCCGGCAAGCAACTCGAAGATGGCAACACACTCCAGGATTACTCCATCCAGAAGGATTCTACACTCCACCTCGTTCTTCGTCTTCGTGGTGGTGGCAAGGAAGCTTATGAACCATCTCTTCGTATTCTTGCCGAAAAGACAAACGTTAAGCGTTCTGTCTGCCGCAAGTGCTATGCCCGCCTTTCCGAGCGTGCTCAACAATGCCGCCACAAACAATGCGGCCATTGCAAGTCCATCCGTCCAAAGAAGGCTGGTAAGGAGTAAATTGCTTCGTTTATAATAAATTTTACAGATTTATCTTCGATTTGAAATGTATTTGTTTTTTAATTACAAATAGCAATTAAGGAAAAAAAATCAAAATCCATATCAAAGAAAACATTATTCAAAATGAAAAGATATCATTGACTTAAATATTTTCCATGTGAAAGTAAATAATTTAGTCAGAAGATTGTAGTGTATTTTTAGAATAAAATATTCATAAAAAAATATATGTAAAGAAGAAAGTTTTAGTAATTTGAATTTCACTGGGTTACTAATGAACTAGTAGATCTTTAATAATTTGGTTAAAATTTTTTAAAATGAAGTTTGATATCTAATTAAATTCTGTGTGTTAGTATATTTTAAAATTGGTGCGCTCAGAAATCTTTAGTCATCAAATTCAGACGGGGAAAGAAAGATTTCATCAGCGCGTTTAAAGATACATACTTTAACCTATTATGGCTCTGTCAAACCGTTTGTTTTGTGTCTAACAAACATCAAAATGGGGAATCTTTTGGACGAAGGTGCAGTCCCTTTTAGAATAAAAATGATGATTTGGCCTGATTTAAGTCATAATTATTGTGTAATAATGCTTATTTCATGAATTTTGAGCAATATTAAAAAATGTCACTTTTTGGAACACCATTTTGAATTCACGACTAAAAGCTCTTGCAGATCGAAACAGAAAAAATATAGAGAAAACCATGAATGAAACACATGGCAAATTCGTATCTAATATCCAGCAACAAAGTATTGAACAAAAGAATCGAGAATTAAAGGAACAAGAAGAATTTGAAAAGAGGCAAAAGGTTCTTGAATTTAAAAAAGCCCAAGAAGTTATCGCAGTTGAAAATGATGCCGAAATTGATGAAAAAATTAATAAGCAATTAACAGATAGCTGGTCATTAGTCGTTACAAGATTCCAAAGACAGTTCGAAGAATCAAAAGATCTTAGAATTGATCTTGCAGGACCAGAAGTTTACGAAGAACAAGAAAATGATGATCATCGCGTAAAGTTCTTGAAAGGAATATTCAAAGAATGGCGTTATAGATTGAATGAACTTCCAGATGAAGAACTAGCTCAGAAAAGAGATGAGTTATGCAATATGTGGTATTGTTTATTTGCATTACAGCCAGTGTTTGATGGTCTAAACAATAGAACATTAAGCACAGAATTAACAGTTAATATTGAAAGAATCGTTGATGCATTGAAGAAAACAGATTTTAGTAAAGCCTACGGTGCATACAATGATTTAGCCATTGGAAATAATGTATGGCCAATAGGTGTTACTCAATATTCAATTCATTGGAAATTTTCAATGGATCTTATGGATTCCAAAAATGTTCTTCATATTTTTAATAGTGAAGCTGGTAGAAATGCTGTCTTATCTCTACGGAGATTCATTAATATATACAAGCAGATTCATAATCCTGAAAATGCGAATAAACCTATATCAATAATTTAATAAATTTACCAAAATAAATATCACTAGTTTTTGGTTCATTTTTTGTGTGGTGACTAGATTCATGAAATATAACAATAAACTCACTGCTTTAATGAGAATTTGGAGTTTGGTAAATTGCGAATTCGCAAGATTTCTGACTTCTATTAGAAACATGTTCACATTATTAAAAGTTATTCTGAAAATTGCTAATATGATTAAAATGGTCGATTTTTTCCAATTGCGAATCTGGATAAATTTTTCCAATGAAGAATCAAACCGTCACCTCTGAAAATTTGCTACAAATATATTCAAAATATTGTGAATGCTTTGAATATAATTGAAATATACTTATTCTAAAATGGACTTTGAAGCATACATTGACGACTTTTCCTTCATTGGCAATGGCTCTGAGGGATCTGTATATCGCATCGATGAAGACAATGCTATTAAAATATTAAAAAAACCAGACCAAATAACACTCGAAACTCAAAAAACAATATATGACGAACTTTCAAAGGAAGAAATCTGCTATATCATTCCATCATATGATGTCTTGTACATAAACGATTCATTCGGCTTAACAATGAAGTTTTTCCCTTACAATCTCGAAACATTAATTAACGAAGGAATTTCTATTAGAGATGCTTTGCACATCGCAAAACATATACTCTGCGGGTTGTATCAGCTTTACAGTCATGGTTACATTTGGTTGGATTGCAACCCAAGAAACATTCTCATGAGCGATAATATGATTCCTCAATTTACAGATATTGGCAATGCTTCTAAAGTTGACAATTCAAACGAACTCCAAGATATTGATAAAAACAAAACAATATGCACTCCACTTTACGCTGCACCAGAAGTAATACTTTACTATAAAGCTTCTTACAAGTCTGATATCTTCTCATGGGGCGTATTGCTTTACCAATTGTTGACTCAGAAATATGCTTTACTTAGTGAAGAATTCTATGATAGCGAATCAAATGACTATATCACTGAATACTTAAAATTCCAGGTTAACGTTGATTGCGCTGAATTTCAATGTCTTGATAAATTGACCAAGAGCGTCATCCTTGGATGCCTTTCTATGAATCCTTATGAAAGGATGTCCTTCAGTGACATATTTGGTAGCGGAATATTTGAAAAATACATTTAATTTCTGATTAATTTTTGTTATTTATTCTTTTTCTCTCTATTTGTAAATATATGTATCTTTATTTATAATTTTTTATTAAGTTACTTCATTTCTATTGTACTTTGGTTATTCACCTAAAGTGATTTTCTCATATTATAATAATCATTCGAATTATTTCGATGAATCTTTAACAAATTCACATGGTTTTGGATGGTTAATGTTCTAATCCAATATGTCACCGTATATAATAATAAAATATAATCTGCTGGATATTTTCAATGAAACAACTTTTGTTTCATGTTAACAGCAGTAACTTTCAATTACATGAGATAGGTATTTATTATTATAGAAACATTATCATTTATATATCGAATTAAGAAAAATAATTAAGAAAAATATAATGGTGGTGTACCTGTCTGTGCAGGTCTACGTCTTTCTTGAGGTACAGCTTCAAAAATGATTTCTTCTTTGCTTCCAGGGCCAGTATATCCATACTTTAAAATTGCTGCCTTATTATTACTAACATATCCATAGTTTGGAGCCGACCATACATTAACAAGCTTATTGTCATAATACCATTTAATTCCTTCATTAACCAATTGATGGGATCTTGTGATAAAATCTAAATTGTTATCTTCGACAAACTTTTCTACCATATCTTGACCAAAAATATAACCTTGACCTCTGAATGATTTTTCGTATCCTTTGAAATTTTCTATATCTGATGGGTCGCTCCAAGTAATGTCGGCCATTCATCCGGTTTTTGGTATATCGCAGACTCGATCTATTGTATTAATTTTTCTGATGTAAACAAGCTCGGGCGACAATCCACCGTGGATACTTAAAACTTTTCCATCAGTTAAAGCTGCAAGAGGTAAGCAATTAAATAACATATTAAACATCTCATATATCTGATTTCCAAAGAAGTGCTTCTGGCATTCATCAAAAAAGCCATAAACTGAATTAATGTTTTTATCTTCGTGGTTGCCTCTAAGAAGATAAATTCTGCCTGTTTTAATCTTCCAAGCTAACAAGTAGCATATTGTGTCAATTGAATAATAACCTCGGTCAACGTAATCGCCCATAAAAAGAAATTGGTTGTTTTCTTCACCTCCTGCTACTCTGAATAATTCAAAAAGATCTTCTAGCTGGCCATGAATATCACCGCAGAAAATGATTGGAGACTTAAGTTCTAATAAGTTACTTTCTGCCAAAATAATGTCCATAGATTTCTTTATTAGGCTAATGATCTGGTCTTGGCTAATAGGAATGGCGTTTTGGATATTATGAATAATCTCATCGACGTTTAGCTCTTCCATCTTTTATAAAAATGTAGTCATGACAAAATTTTCTTGTAGTCAAGAAAATACGTAGACCAGGTTCATCAGGGGTTAAAAATTTTTAACTTTATATATAAAAATATTGAATTAAACCCAATTGGGCTTTATGTGCAGCCTTAAGGGTGGCTTTCGAGCAAATTATCTCTTTTTAGCTCAAGCGAGATAACGAATAATTATCATTTTGGAATTCAAGGAATATGATGTTAATTTTAACAATTAAATTCTTCGTTTTCGTCTTAGTAAAACACCATCTCGACCACTATTTTTGGAACGACGATAGGTTCTATTTGGCCTGGTCGGGACCCATAAATATTCCAACAATTTTTAAAAATAAAACAAAAACAAAAATGGTAATAATCCAACTAAAGAATCATATGTTGGAACGGGTTCATGGTTTCAAAATGAATGAAAGCGTTATATTAACTGTAAACAATGTAGAAATACAAATAAATAAATATTTCGCTGTTGCAATTTCTCAAATGATTTACAATACTTATGTATTAGATAACAACACACTAAAGATCAATATCAAAACGAAAGTAGAATCACAAGAAACATATGAAGTGTTGAAAGAGATATTACAATATAATAAAACAGAATTTGAATGCAATGATACGATATCGAAAGATCTTTTTTACATCGGAAATAAACTTGGAATACAAGAACTGATTGATACATATAAAACACAGGTTCTCGACAAAATGGTTCTCGACAAAAATAACTGTATTCAATTACTCGATATTTATTTTGATATTTGTTCTGAGAGCAAAATATCAGAATGTGTTGATTTCATTTCTTCTCATTTCTACGAGATTGATCAAGATGATCTAAAATCAATTTCGAAGAAACTCGGATTTGATATCATTCAAAGTATTTTTAATAATGATAAACTATTAATCAAAGATGAGGATTCGATAGCAAATTTCATATTCTCTCTCATTAACGAAAGTGAAATTTTCTCACCACTCGTTGAATGCATTCATTTCGAATTTTGCAGTGAACAAGTCATCAATAAAAATCTTGTCATTAGTGATGAAAACAACTATTTCAATATTATCAAATCTCTTCATGATTCATTACTTAGATCAAGAAATAACAAATACGATCATACTCGTTATTTTATTCCAAGCGATTATCAAGGCGTTTACAAATATCTTGATGATCTTTCAAGAAAAGTTGATCTAACTTTATTTGAAACAGTATGTGAAGACATTCTAAATAAAAATGATAATGAAATTCGTAATAATATCTTATTCGAATCATGTGAAAAAGGAAATCTTACACTCGTTAAATCTCTGATTGAGCATGGCTGCGATAAAGAAGTTAAAAACAAAAATAATCTGACTCCACTCCATTTATCATCTTTTAATGGTCATCTTGAAGTTGTTAAATATCTTATCTCTAATGGAGCTGATAAAGAAGCAAAGGATGATGATGGATGTACTTCACTCATTAAAGCATCAGAAAATGGTCATCTTGAAGTTGTTAAATATCTTATCTCTAATGGAGCTGATAAAGAAGCAAAGGGTAATAATGGATGTACTCCACTCATTTCTGCATCAAGAGGAGGTCATCTTGAAATTGTTAAATATCTTATCTCTATTGGAGCTGATAAAGAAGCAAAGAATAAATATGGAGATAATCCACTCATTTCTGCATCAGAAAATGGTCATCTTGAAGTTGTTAAATATCTTATCTCTAATGGAGCTGATAAAGAAGCAAAGGTTAATAATGGATGTACTCCACTCATTTCTGCATCAAGAGGAGGTCATCTTGAAGTTGTTAAATATCTTATCTCTAATGGAGCTGATAAAGAAGCAAAGGATGATGATGGATGTACTTCACTCATTAAAGCATCAGAAAATGGTCATCTTGAAGTTGTTAAATATCTTATCTCTAATGGAGCTGATAAAGAAGCAAAGGGTAATAATGGATGTACTCCACTCATTTCTGCATCAAGAGGAGGTCATCTTGAAATTGTTAAATATCTTATCTCTATTGGAGCTGATAAAGAAGCAAAGAATAAATATGGAGATAATCCACTCATTTCTGCATCAGAAAATGGTCATCTTGAAGTTGTTAAATATCTTATCTCTAATGGAGCTGATAAAGAAGCAAAGGTTAATAATGGATGTACTCCACTCATTTCTGCATCAAGAGGAGGTCATCTTGAAATTGTTAAATATCTTATCTCTATTGGAGCTGATAAAGAAGCAAAGAATAAATATGGATGGACTCCACTCATTTGGGCATCATTAAGAGGTCATCTTGAAGTTGTTAAATATCTTATCTCTGTTGGAGCTGATAAAGAAGCAAAGGATAATGATGGATGGACTCCACTCATTTGGGCATCATATTATGGTTATCTTGAAGTTGTTAAATATCTTATCTCTAATGGAGCTGATAAAGAAGCAAAGGATAATAATGGATGGACTTCACTCATTAAAGCATCAGAAAATGGTCATCTTGAAGTTGTTAAATATCTTATCTCTAATGGAGCTGATAAAGAAGCAAAGGGTAATAATGGACAAACAGCAATGGATCTTGCAACAGGCAATGTAAAAAATTATCTAAAATCTTTATGAATGGTTTTCTTTCAAGTCCAAAAAAATAATAATAAAATAAAAAAATTAAAAAAAACTTTTATTTTTATTTTATTTTTCAGTTCTATTCAAAAATTGAATTCTAAAATGAGAATTATCGTTATCGACTTCATGTTGAATCGAATTTTTAGAGCTTCTTGGTTAAAGAAATCCAATTTTGAGCGTTGGCTCATCCTTGGGTAAACTGATGACGACTCAGCCATAGAATGGTTGACTTCTCCTCTCCTTTGAACACGTGACTTCTTGTTATTTTTATAAATATATAACATCTGAATGTGAAAATCAGAGATTTAAAGTGACTTATTTTTACTTTCACAATTATTTCAAGAGAATTAAAATATTCTGTGCCTATTCTGCTTTCCACGAGCCTTAGAACTCACAAATTCTGTAAAAATAATACTTAGAACTGTTGTTTATAATTATAGCACTATCACAATTTTGGGAATGAAAATTATCATAATTAATATTTTATAAAAATATAGTTTGAATTAACCAGAAAGAAGAGCACAGCCAGAAGTTCGTAGTAAATATAAATTAGATGTTTCTAGTGCGAGCTACATCCTTATCAAAAAAACATGCTGCACTTGGTAAAGATACGATAAAAATCTGATGATAATAAAGGACTCAAAGAGCTAAATTGTATGGGATGTCATTATGGATTGATTTTAGGATTTATCTTTTATATATTCATTATGACTATGTCATGACGAAATTTATTATATAATTAATTAGGGTTGTACAAACTGGCACACCTTTTTTGGCCAGCTGACACAATTTTTTTAAAAAACACATTAAAAAAGTCACTTTTTGCCCCATCTAATGAGATTTTTTTACAATTTTTTCCCCTTATTTTTCAATTTAGATATGATTTTAAGCTC